AAAAAAAAAAAAAAAAAAAAAAAAAAAAGAGACCGTCAGGGGTGAGGTCCCTGGATCGGCCCAGTGTGATAGGTGGGGTCTGCAGAACCTCCAAGACCTGGACGGTGCCACCTCCAGGTGCTCTTCCGGTCTCACTCAGGTGCTGTGCACTGCTGTGCAGGGTCTGTACCTCCTCAGGGACACCTCATGCGCCTGCTTCTTTCATGCCATCTGAGGCCCTCCTCCTTGGGGTCCACAGCTCTCACCTGCTGCCCTGGCATCACCAGGCCCTGTCCAGGGATGCAGGCCCAGGACCTCCGGCAGCATGTAGCTCTGAGCTGTGGGCTCCCGGGGCTTCTGGGAGGGCGGCCCCTGCCTTATGAGCTCTCTGGAAGGCTCTGGCTGGGCACCTGGCAGCAGCACACTCTTGGGGCTCCTTGCTCTCCTGAACCTGTGCAGTTCCTAGCTGTCCCTGTGTGGTTCATCTACCTCCAGGCTGGCCTTCTGTCCTACACTGGACACCTGAGTGACCCGGCTTACCCTCCACTCTTAGTGCCCCTCCCCTGCATACAGCCTTCGTGAGTGGCCCAGCCTGCAGGTGGGCTCCACCTGCAACTCTGTCTTGGGCCTTGTGCCTTCTCCCTGCAACCTGTGACCAGCGCCGTGTCCATGAGCACCTGCTTCTTTCAAGGCCAGCGTGGCACAGCGTCCTCCAGAAAGCCTTCCCTGACCTCAGAATAAATCTAATTCCACAATGGTTTAGGTTGTGATAATTTTCTTTCCTGAACCTGTGTCTTTCCCTTCTGTGTCCTCAGGTGTGAGGCACGTAGGGGACAGAGGGAAAGAGGGACGTCACTCACAGCCTCTAGCTCCTGGTTCCGGGCACGGAAGCGCTCCCGCTGGCTGGAGATGATGGAGAGCAGTGAATCGACCTGGCCCTCAGGGAGGGAGCCACTGGCTGCTGCCACGGGTCCTAGGAGATATCAAAGGGTGGCTCGGGATGACAGGGCAGAAAGAGTCCCCTGGGGAGCTTTGGGCAATGTGGCCCAGCTTTGAGGGTTTTCTGGCCCAGGCTGTTGGGCAGAAACCACAGCGGAGGCTGCCCGCCTGGTGCTGAGCAGGTTGGCAAAGTGGAAGGGGCAAGCGGGGAGGGCTGAGAGCTCAGAATAAGGGCCGGGGTGCCCCAGAGCTCTGCTTCCCATTGCTCTGCACTTGGATGTGAGGTTCCCTGTACCCATGAGGCCCCGAGGGCCCTGGCCCTTGGTGAAGCAAAGGGACCCTGAGGGAACCGGGGAAGCTCCCTCTAGTATCCTGGACTAGTGGCCTTGGGTTCCAGCCTCAGGACCCACAGAGGCCGCCTCTCCTCCAATGCCATGCAGCTCTGGTCATTTCGGGGGTGTTGGCGGGGTGGCCCCGTGCATTTGGGGCTGCCACTACACTGCTGGGGTGGGGCTCTGTCCTTTGTGGGAGGGGCATGTTCTTCCAGGTCTGCCCCTGGGTGGAGGTGGCTGGCCCTGCTCACCGTAGAACAGGGCTGTGGCCTCCTTGATGGGCTCCGGGATTTTCTCAGCGGCGCCCTGCAGGTGAGAGGAGGAGGGGCAGTGCCATCATGGGTGGGCACTGAGTCACCTTTCAGGTTGGACAGGGAGCAGGCTGTAGGCCTGGCTGCAGGAGGAGCCCGCATCAGGGCTGCCAGTGCAGGGAAGGCTGGGCCTCAGTGACCATGGAGGTGAGGCCAGCAGCACCTCTAATGGGCTTGGGCCTCTCTGGTCTTGGGGCTTCTCCTTGAGATCCAGGTTGTGATCCTGGCTGTGTTCTGCCCAGGGCCTCAGGGCAGGGGACATACTCGCATCTGGGCATAGGGCACACTGTGACACCTGGGGAGCCCTGGGGTCTGGTGTCTCCAGCTGGGAGAGGGTGACCATGGGGTGAACAGGGAAAGCAGAGGATGGGGGGCAGCCCCGCTGGGCTTGGGGAGGGGCTGCCTGCCGCCACTGCACCGGGACTCAAGGACGGGGTGGAGGAGGGGGAGCAGCAGGGCTCACCTCTGCGTCTGGCCGCTGGATGGACTGGATGGTGCTGAGGTCCTGCTCCAGGCGGGCGATCAGCTCCCTCTGCTCAGCGGTCATGGCCATGGCCTCGGTGACATGGACCTGCAGCTCCGCACAGCGCCCTGTGGCCAGAAGGAGAGGTGGCTGTCAGAGGAGCCTGGGGGGACCCTTGGTGCGCTCCAGCCCCTTCCGGAGCAGGGGTACCTAAAAGGCCACTGAGTTCTGTGCAGTGAGGTCGTTGGGGCCAAATACCCTCTGCTCCTGAAATTTCCAGGGAGAGGAAGGAGCCCAGGTCAGGGATTCAGGAGAAACAGGAGCACCCTGGCTCTGCCAGGACTGTCTGGGTAACTCTGAGGGGCCCTTCTTTCCCGGGGCTTATGCTCTGAGATAATGACCAGGGGGTTCTTGGGGGTAGCAGGGGCCAAGGAAGGCAGGGGAGGTGCAGTGGGGGTGTGGAGGGAGGGGATCTGCACCTGCAACAGGCACCAGATACAGTGGCAGAGATGACAAGACACTGAGGTCCCCTGACCCACAGCCCTGTCCCTCTCTCCCCTGTCTAGGAGCCAGGGCCCATCTTAGCATCTAGACAAAAACAAAACCAGGCTGTCTGGACTTTCTTGTCCTGCAGCAAAGTGGACATAGTGGGAAGCTCATCAAGGCTGGGCCCTTGGTGCTGTCAGTAGCCACAGGCAGGGAGGGCTCAGCTGCCTGGTGGCCAGACTGGGGATCTGGCTCTACTTTCACTAATGTGTAACTCTGGGTAGCCAGACCACCCTCTCTGACCCTTCTTTGTAAAATGGTGACAAGAACCCTTAGCGAGGGTGAACTGACAGGGTCACTGAGGATGTCTGAGACAGACTCAGGACCTTGTCTTTTGGGGAGGGCTTCATGGCCACTAGGGGGCACTGTGGCCTCAGAAATGCCCAAAGGCTCCAGGCTGTGCATGGTGCTGGGAAGTGGCCTAGGTGTCCCCTTGCTGGACAGCGTGTAGACCTGCTGTCCTGATGGCACAGTGTGTAGGCTGGGGACAGCTCAGCCTTACTGCTCTGTCTCCTGGTGGCCAAAGATCACAATGCATGACCCACTGGCTGGGACGCCCTGCTGTCCCAGGCAGACAGGAATCATGGTGAGATGTGGGGAGTGGGAACAAGCAGAGAGCTAACAGGGCCTTGGGCAGCACTGATGGAAGTGAAGGGCCTGGGCTAAGGGAGGGACTAGTCAGTTACTGGCACCGGGTGTCTGCAGGAGCAGGCCCAAGCAGGGGTGATCCTGTGAGTGGGGAGGCAGAGCCTCGTCCAGGGGAAGAGGACAGAGGGATAGAGCTGGATATGGGGAGCCCACAGAGGGTGACTGCTGCCCTGCAGAGGGAAGGCTGGTGCGTGCAGTCAGCTTGCTTCTCACACCTGCCAGCCTGTGGCAGCCCAGCTTGGCCTCCCAGGAAGCACCCAGGCCTGCTGTGGACAATAGCACAGTCCCTGCCTGTGCACACAGGTGACATTCTGAGCATGTGCAAGGGCTGGAGAGCAGCGCCTCACCCCTAGGCAGTTCCACCCATCTTGGTGATGGCCTGTAGGGCCTGTGGCAGCCAACGCTCCCAGACACTGGGGCACAGTGCAGGGCTGGATTCGGGGAGCCGGGGGAGTTAGTAGTGAGTACAGTCAGACCCTGGGTGAGCCCTGAGGACTCAGGCATGTTTGGCTGCAGCAGGCCACTGCCAGAGAGGCCAGGGGGTGGGGAGTGCGGTGCAGCAGCAGTCTTGGGGTCTGGGTGCCCCTCTGACAGGCAGTGGGTGGGGCCTGGTGGTTGTGAATGATCTGTAAGGGAACACAGTCTTTTTTTTTTTCCCTTCTCGGCACTGGGCAGTGAAACTCACAGTGCCCTACCACTGAGCTGCATCCCAGTCCTGTATTCCTTATTTTGAGACAGGGTTTCATTAAGTTGCCCAGGCTGGGTTGGAACTTGCCGTTTTCTTGCCTTCACCTCTCAGAGCACAAGGACCACAGGTGTGCACTGCCAGGTCCTGCCAAGGGGCAGGGTCTCGAGAAGCAGGAAGCACGGTGGCGGGATGGGGATGGCCTGGACTAGGGAGAGGGGACAGGGCTGGCCCTGCCTCTGACAGACAGGTGAGGGAGTCCCCTTCTGGGAGACTCTGGAAAGGCTTCCTAGAGGGTTCACTGCATGGAGGGGAGAAAGAAATCAGAGCAATGCCAAGGTCAAGGCCCCACCACTTCAAGTCAAGGCACAAGGGTGACAGGGATGAAAGGTGGCAAGGCCTGGGGTGCTGTGCCCCTGGCTTTCCTGAAGGAGGGGACCCTGTCATATTAAATCAGTCACCTGCAGGCTGGGCAGGGGTGGTGGGCCTGCCTGATGCCCATGGTGAGTGGAGATGCCTGTGCCACCCCTCCCCTTGGGGGCCTGCCACGCCCCTTTGTGAGGCGTTCCCAGCCAATCTCCCCTCTCGCCAGCAGCTCTGGCCCCTCCTTTGCCCTGGCATAGAAGCATGGTGTTCACACTTGCCGGCCTGGCCACCTGGAAGACTTCTACAAGCCAGCGCTGCCCCACTGTGTATCTCCCACCCATGCCTCTCCTTGTCCTCTTCTTCCCCTGTCTGGCTACCTGGCATCTCAACCTTAGTACATCTGAATTGAAGCCTGAAGCCCTCCTGCCGGAGTCAGTCTCGTCCGAGAAACCTGCTCTCCAGAGGCCCTGGCCAGGCTATCACCAGTGGCTCGGAACAAAGCCTGGGAGTCACCTGCGGTTCTCTGGCCCTTCTTCCATATGTCAAAACCGCCCTAAATCCTACTTTTGGCTCCACCTTCCAAACAGGTCCAAAATCCTGTCCTTTTTCACCACGGCCACCACCTGGTCCCTGTCACAGCCACCTCGTCTCAGAGATAGCAACAGATTCTTGGTGGCCTCCCTTCTACCCACAGTCTAGTCCCAGAGCAGCGGGTAGAGAGACGCTTGGACAAAGTGCAGGAAGATGCTCTCAGCGAAGCCCCCCAATGGCTCCCTGGCACAGGGAAAAAGCCAAAGCCCTGCAGGGCCCATAGGGCCACACATGCTCTGCCTTTCCCTCATCTCTGTCATCTGTCACCACCCTCTCTTCCCCTTGGTCACCTGCTGCAGCCATGCTCGCTTCCAGACATGCTTGCGCCACAGGACCTTTGCAATGCTGAGAAGCGCCTTCCCTTGGCACTGTGCAGCCTGTCCCTTCACCTCTGCTGAGACCATGTCCGTGCTAGGTTCTTATGTGGCCCACCCTGACTTCTATTCGAAGCTTTACACTTCACCTGCTATTCCTGATCTTCTTGTCTTATTTTTCTTCCACAACACAAATCATCTTCTAAGCCACCCGAGCCTCACTGATTTATTGTCTTCTGTCTGTCCCCTCCCACTGGGAGGTGAGCTCCTGGTTTGTCCCTGCAGCGTGTGGGGCAGCGGCACAGGGTGGAGCAGATTCTACCCAGCAGGGCACAACTGTTTCCTCTGGCTGGAACACATGGGGTTCCCAGGACTTCAGGGTCCCTGGAGTGGGGGCAGAGCTGGCCAGGCAAAGGCACCCAGAGCCTGGCAGGGCCAGCTGGGTACACTATCATCTGGTAAGTACTTAGTCCAACTTAGTCCAGTCCAGACCAGACCTCAGATCTGCCAGCACGAGAGCCCACTGTACCCCTGCCAGTGAGTACACACCTCCCCAGCTGGTCCCCTCCCCACAAGGCTGGCTGCGGATGCTCAAATACACAGAGTCCTAGATACCACACATAGGGCACAACCTCGCCCAGCATAGCTGCCCTCCAGATCCAACTTTGTTCTTTTCTTTACTTTTTTCCAGTATTGGGGATTGAACTGAGGGACTTCATACTGAGCTACATCCCTTGCCTTTTTATTTTTTATTTGAGGAAGGATCTCATTAGTTGCTAAGTTGCCCAGGCTCAGTTTAAACTTGATCTTCCTGCCTCAGCCTCCCGGAAGGCTGGGATAACGGTGTTTACCACCTCACCCAGTTCCACCTGTGTAATCAGCCACACAGTGGAGTCGGTGCGAGGAAGTCTCACCCTCCTTCCCCGCCACACTGCCTGTTTCCAGCATGCAGTTCTGTGGAGAACTACGCCACTCAAACTGAGCGCCCACCAGATGGTGGCCACGACAGGCCTGGCGGCACTGGTTCTCTGGGTATCCCGAGGAGTGTCCGATTTGGAGCAGGACAGATTCTAGAAGGATCTAGGGACTCTTCCTGCCCTGGCACAAAGTAGAAAAAACCCTCACCCGAGGGAACTGCTCTAGCAACCAGAAGACAACGAAAGGACACTTATCAACAACTGTAAGCAAGCAGACGCCACAAGCAGTTCCTAGGTGTGTCACTCAATCCTCCTCAGAGCCCTAAGACCTTGGTTTCATTTTCCTTTGCTGGGGATTAAACCCAGGGCCTTGTGCCCTCGCCCACGGAGCCAAATTGCAGCACTGGCTTGGCATTCATACAGTCCCTGTTACACAGATGGAGATGGCAGTGACAGGAAGGCACATTCCTCCACTATTATGGGAAAGATGTCATGTCATCTGAGACTTGTCCCAGGTTGCCAGCTGGTAAGAGACCACTGAGGGGGCCGGGGATTTAGCTCAGTGGTACCACACCTGCCTTGGGAGCACAAGGTCCTAAGTTCAATCCAGGGTACCAAAAAAAAAAAAAAAATTCATGTGCATTTATCATATGAAAGAATTTAAGAGAAAATAAAATTAAATTAAACTAAAAAAAAAGAGAGACCACTGAGGTTTCACAGTGCACCTTGTGACCACATGGATGGGGTCTTCAAACCTCATTCCCTGAGGCATCCTTCACTGCTCCCAAGAGAGCAGCTCTGCTATGACTTGTCTGTACATTTTTTTATTTGTTTGTTTTTCTGGTACTGGGGACTGAACCCAGGGCTTTCACACTGAGCTACATCCCCCAGCCCTTTTAAAGTTAAAAAAAAATTTTTATGACAGGATCTCACTAGGTTGCTAAATTACTCAGGTTGGGCTTGAATTTGTGATCCTCCTGACTCAGCCTCCCAGAACGTTGGGATTACAGCTGTGCACTACCATGCCCAGTGTTCATAACTTCAGGAAGGATACAAGGCCC